ACAGGTGGAAAGGAAAGGTGCTGTTGTCTTTCTTTTGGGGGAAGCTAAGTGCAACAGAATTAGGCTCTTAGGTGCTGTGTGTTTCTGGAATATTGGAAGTCCATCCAGTCATGAAAGATGTTGCTTTGGCTGAGAATATACTGACTTTTATCACCTTCACAGAAATAGATCAAACACACATTCATGAGATACGTGACCAGCAGAGGTGATGTGGGCAGATGTTAAGTGGGTTTGTTACTGTACGAGCCCTAGTATGAAGCTCTTGATAACTAGCCAGGTTCAGCTAGAAAGACTTTGACATTTAGTGTGGGTTAATGAGAACTCTGAGCTTTGAAGGTTATGTGATTGCATGTTCTCCCTTCCCCCATCATCACATGACACCATTCAAAATATGTCTCAGTGGAGAATACAGATATTTTTGGTACTGGCCCAGAAACTTATCAGGTGAAGTGCAATTAATGAATCAAGTGGCTTAAAAATATCTGCCCAGAAGCAGCAGGTACTCTTTTGGTGACTGAGTAACAAGAATTTCATTCAGAAGAACAGCAAAAAGCTTTTCTTACCTCATGTCTTTACAGTGTATTTGTCCTGCTGCTTCCAGGAACACTATATTTTTCCTATACCAATAAAAATACGCCTGCACCTTGGCAAATCACAGGACTGAAAATTCTCAGTTTGTATGTGCTCAGTGCAGATTTAGCTGAAATCCTGAAGAGGTTTCCCTGCCCTGAATGTAGCTGCTGCCCAGGCAGCTGTGGTGGTTGCTGATCTGGGAGGGAGATGCAGGTTGGCTTTAGAGCTTGTTCTGCCTGACCTCTTCTTTCCTGGGTCATCAAATGCCAGAAAATATAGAGCAATCTATCAGTTAAATTCAGATGGGACCAGGACTAGCACAAGCATGGGGGAAGATAGGAGAAAGACGCCTTCAAAGAAATATTCTTATATTCCAAGGCATATTCTTATGTCTGAAGACGTGGCATAAGGAAACTGAACAGGACTTGCAGAGAGATGTGGATTAATAAACTAAGGGAAACTGAGAATGGGTGCAAGCCAGTTGTTTGGGAAAGGACAGAAAAAGCTTCAGATTGGAAATTGGGTGGGGATAGTAAAATCAGGAATGTATGGGACAGAAATAATTATCTGTGATGATAGAGAAGGGGAGGAAGAAGCAGGGGCAGAGAAGCACTGTGTGTGAAGGACAGACATGAATAAGAGTGAGGACTAGCTGGCCAGGCAAAATGAGACAAAGTGTTATAAGGAGGAGAAGTGAGACTGGGTGTGAAAGCAGGACCCCAAGTGAGTTGACTTTGAGAGGAGACCAGTGCTGGCATGAAAGTTGCAGGTGGTTCTCAAACAAGATCAGTTTCAGAGGAGTCAGACTTCGAGACAGATCCATGTCCATTTGTCTCTAGGCTGTAATGAGACCTGGAGCCAGGGGCACACCATCCCACCATATCTGAATTCTTCTCCACCTCTGTTATCCATAGTCAAACACGCCTAAGGCTAGCAGAGTTAAAAAACAGATTGAGGATAGCAAGAAGGCATATACATCATCACCTGCACACCAAGGTCTTAAGGCACAGGCAATCTTGACCTGCATATTTCTAATAGTGTGGAATGATTGAATTTCCAACTGTACTAACATAGTCTGGACTTTGAATGTAGTCTTGGTAACACAGAACAATGGGTTAAGGAGACAGGGAAGCTTTATGTTGTTCCGAAGGGGAAAATTTTAGCAGATAAGCAATTAGCGATAACAAAGATGGAGAGCACAGGGCTGATACATTGTGGCTGAAATACCCATGTTTATTAGTAAAGCCAAGAGGGAAAGACTGTCTCTGTGTTCTTATTTTCTATATAGATTTTCTAATATATTCTAATATATATTTTCTAATACAAATGTTTGGTAGCTCCAAAAGAGGTCATGGCTCCGATCCTGAGCACTCAACACTATTACAGGAAGATGGTATTTGCATTAAAGAGCCTATAGTTTAAATAGACAAGGCAGACGCAGAGTGGGAGAGGAGCAAGAGCACCAAGAGGTAAAGCAGGTGGCAATGGTTAGCAGCAGAGCTGGTCGCTGAACTTCTGAATCCCAGTGCACTGATGTGTCTGTTAAATTGTACTGCTGTTTACAGTTGTATTAAAGCCAAAAGGAGGTCTGAGTAAATGCTCAAGGCTCAAAGCACTATGGGATTTCTGCCCTAGAAACCAGAATCTGAAATGGGTTGATCTTATTTTTAAAGGAAAAAGCAAATGGATTGGTTCCTATTCTGAATGGTCCTGCTGCCACCATAGCACACAGTGAGTGCTCTGTTATGAGAGAAGAAATCCCATTAAAATGAGTAGGACTACAGCCCTGAGCCCTGGTGGGAGATGCAGACATACTGAAAGCTGTTTATATTGGCTAAGAAATACACAGGTTAATAGTAATTTTAGCGTTTACACAGGACCTAGAAAAGTCCTCAAAACTTTGCACAACAAATAAAATAAGTTGTTAATTACTTGTCCTGAAGATTTATATAATGCAATGTTAGTCCTACAGAAGCAAAGTTAGGGCAGCAAGAACAGAAGCTTTGATTGCAGATCACATGAAAGCAGTTATACTAGGGAACACACCAGCCTTGTGTTCTCTCTACCCAGACCAGCCACTTGCTTCTGGGGCATTGATTTACTCAATGTTTGTGCAGTCAAATTCCATACTAGATTTAGCAGGAGTCTTTTTGTATACAAATCTCAACTTCTCTTCCCTCCCATCAAAAATAGCTGAAAATGCCAATACATTACGAGATTTGTTTCTAGGATTTTGCTGGCCATTTGAAAAATGGAAGTTTTAAAATTAAGTGTTTAGTTGCTTTTCTGGACAGTGATGTTTGACTAACACCAATAAAGCCATCAGAAGCAATAAATCTGGATAGTTATGTCACAACTGAAAAAGAGAATGACAGCATATGTTTTAGTTGAGTTTATTTAGGACATCACGCTGCTAAAATCAGTCCACAAAATGGTCAAATTTCATAAAGGTAACATTCAGACTATTTGTACTCAATTATACGTTTATTTAAAATTTCCACTTGGTTTACTGATGTAAATGTATTGTTCATTTTTCACATACCAAGCCCTGTTATTTAGTCTCAAGGGAATTATTGTTACAAATTTAACAACTGTGACATACTAAAGAGCACATTTAAGGAAGAGATTAAGGGTTGAAAGGATGTGACCAAATGTTTCCGTGGTGTTTTGCCAAAATGTCACTAAAATGCCAGTGCGATTTTAATAAGAGTTGCTCTTTCAGAGCTCATCTTGCCCACCAAAAAAAATAAGATTAATCTTGCCTGCATCAGTAGCAGGCATACTTTCATTGCATTTGCCAGAAGATAATTTCCTAAGTTTTATTTTCATTTTAGAAACTACTTTTAACCACTGGGTGATTAACTTGTTAGGTCTCTGCATTATGCAGCTGATCAGCAAGGAGGAGGTTGATAGGTCAGAATGTGTCAGCAAAAATGTTCGAATTAGATGCCTCATGTAGGCACTTATGTCCCTAATTATCAACTGGCTGATAGTGTCAGGAACTGATTTTCACGAAGTTCTTTGTTCTTGGAAAGTCACGCCCCAAACTGGACAATGAAACATAGAAACTTGAAACATCAATGGTTACTTCTGAGAAACTCCAGCCTCATGTCAAAGTGAATTGTGAATGGTGCATGGGCAAATCTGGGAAATGCTATCACTGCTTATTTTTCTGTAATTTTATTGCCTTTCTAAAGTTGTCAAAGTGAGACTGTTGCAAGAAGCAGTTTTGCATATATGATTTTCTATCAGGAGAGAGCTTCCTAGAGAATCACAGAACGATAGAATGATTTGGGTTGGAAGGGACTTTAAAGGCCATGTAGTTCCACCTCCCTGACACAGGCAGGGACACCTTCCACTAGACCAGGTTGCTCCAAGCCCCATCCAACCTGGCCTTGAGCAGTGACAGGGATGGGGCAGCCCCAGCTTCTCTGGACAACCACCACTCAGGGCCTCACCACCCTACAGGGAAGAACTTATCTAAAGATCTAAATCTCCCCTCTTTCAGTTTACAGCCATTCCCCCTTGTCCTATCCCTCCCCGTTTCAGCCCCTTTAGGTACTGGAAGGTCATTCTAAGCTCTCCCCAGACCCTTCTCTTCTCCAGGCTGAACATGCCCAGCTCTCTCAGCCTGTCTCCATAGTGGAGGTGCTCCAGCCCTCTGAGCATCTTCATGGCCTCCTCTGGACTCGCTCCAACAGGTCCACGTCCTTCTTGGGGAGGAAGGACATGGACCTGTTGGGGGGGCCCAAAACTGGATGCAGTACTGTAGGTGGGGTCTCACAAGAGCAGCGTAGAGAGGAAGAATCAGTTCCCTTGACCTTGAAAGTAGTAGTGCTAGAAGGCACATCCCCAGATTAATCTATTTTAAGCATTTTAACCTAGAGTAAGTTTTCTAGAACTGTTTTTCTACCTATGTGGACCATCTAAAAGTTCCACATGTGATTTTCTCCTCCCTGACCTCTAGCGCTCTCTAAAGGTGGAATGAACCGAGTCGCTATCTGAGTGCTATCTTGTGATCACCTTCTTCCAGCTGCCTGCTGCAAGTGTCACTCTTGCTCTGATCTGAGGCCAGTGGCATGAGGAACAATGTAAGGCTATCTGCTGGTTAGGGTGGCTTGAACCCTGCAGACTTTGCTCAGGCTGGGACTGAGGGCCTTGGGCTGATCTCCTGGGCCATGGGCAGGGATGTAGAGTGGAACCCCGTTAGGGCCCTTAAGGCCTATTAGTGCCCTCAGGGCCCTGACACAGAGAAAGAGTCCTGATGCTGATGCAGAGTGGGCAATTTGAGAAACAAAACGATGTTTTCTTTGTGTTCTGAACCTTACACAGGATGATTCACTTTGAGATGATTAGGATAGCTTGTGGTGGCCACACTGAAATGCAAACCGGTAACACTAAGGGAGTAACATTAACAGTAACAGTGACATTTTCCTCTCCCAGGCCACAGGACTGGGGGCTCTCCCTTCTACGCCAATGTGTGGCAGATTTTCTTTACTTAATTTTCCTGCAAGGCTATGATAGTGTATGCCCAGGAAAACAGAATCTCTTTCCTTTTTGTCTCGAAGCCTTTAATTATTTTCAATTGTATTAAAATAAAATAAAATAAAAAGAAAAAGTAGGAAGAACATGCCTGAGAACTACAGCTCCGGAGCCTCCAGGTTTTTCCAGGTTTCCTCCTGAGAAGAGCTTGGTCCTGTCACTTGCCTGAATGTGTTTATCAAATGCGACATGCATATGGACCAGTGGTGGGGGCACATGCAGAGTACTGGTATGCCTCCAGGAGGGATAGTGAGGAAGCAGCTCCTTTAGACTGTTCAAGGGCACACTTGTGATTTGGATGTGCTTAGCTAGCTGTACATCATTATGGAGACATTATAGCCCGTGGCTTGGCAGCAGCTGTGTCATTAAAATATATAAGATGTTACCAAAGGAAGCACTTGGCAAATCTTTTTTTGGCTTCCCCAGACATAAACAACCACATTTTCTCAACAATGGTAGGTTATGGCTGGGGGTGAGTCACTAATGTATTTAGAAGGATGCCCTCTCCCTGCACAGAGGAGACCACAATTGGCTAAAATAAGCCAAGACAGGGTAACCCTCGTGGTTGAGGGGCACATTGGGGAATTCCCAGATAGCTTTCTAAAATCTATGCATTATACACCACTGCTGGTCTGCATAGAGCTCTGCAGGAGCCCTCTGAATCTGTGAAGGACAGATTCTCCAGTGCTAGAAACTGGTGCAGCCCTTTAGTACCTGTGCAGATAATCTCACTTTTACTATCTGAAGGATTCTGTTTAGGAGCAGACTGTGGTTCAGTTGCTAGTTAGAAGCGAACTTGGTCATTTCTGGTGTTTATGGTCATTTAAGGGAGGTACCTGCCATGGAATTCAAAGGGGACTTTGAACATCATGTGGTAATCTGGAGATAAAATTTAGTCCGTGTATCTGGTAAGTCATTTATGAAACTTTGATTTCCACTTTTGTATTAACCTAGTGCTCAGGAGATTTATATATGGCCCAAGCTATAGAATGAGTTCTTTTTGTTACACCTAAGTTTCAAAGAGAAAGTGTGGTGAAGATGTAGTGTCATGATTGGTTCAGAAAAGTCCACAGAAAAGATCTGCAACTTGGAGAAGTATATCTTCATTCCTGGATGATGTGGTAACAGTTTAGCTTGTACAGCTGATTTTACAAAAATATTTATTTCAGTGAAATTAATTCCAGCTCACTTTCAGTTTTTTCTTTTAGTATTTTGCCTTGTTCCTTCATTTGGCTCATGATGAGGTGAGAGTTGCAGTGATGGCATGTAGAAACTCACATTTGCAATAACATTAACAATGCGGTCTTATGAAGAGCACCATAAGGCTCCACACAGCCATATGCACTTCTGCACCAACACCAGGATGTCGAAATTCAAGTGAGAAAGACTTCACATCGGCCTGGTAATGTAACAAAGCAATATTAACATTTTCAGAAAACATTCTGAAATCAGTTTGGTTTGGCTCGCCGTTCAGATACTCAAGCCAAAGAGACTGTCCTGAGAGTGGTGTAAACAGAGAAGCAATACATAGGAAGTGAGCTTGCAGGACCTGAAGTGTCATTTAAATAAGGCAGTTAAGGGTGGTGGTAGAGCTTTGTAAAATCCCTTGGTTTTCTAACCTATGCATACATACTTGAAACACGTAAGAAAACCCTGCACACACCACTCCACAGCGTGGGGACACTTTTCATCCTGATGCTCACTAAGAAATTCATAGGAACCTTTATTTGATACTTTTTCTGTAGCTCACCTCAGCTATCTAAAGTTTAGAGAAAGGTGCCAGCCAAGTACTGTGAGACAGTTGCTGTAGGCGTTGAAAGAGGAAGTGAAGGTAGTGCTATCCTGCAGTCTGTCCATTGCAAAAAGATAACAGCAGTGCTTTTTAATCTAGCAGCAAAAGGAATAACATGAACTGATAGGTGGGAACCTGAGGATGAACATTTCTGAACAAGAAAATGTAAGTAAATAGCAACACAGAGTAATTAAACATTGCTGCATTTTACTAAGGGATGCCTTGAATGCTTCATCTCTGAAAGTCTTAATAGCCTTGCAGGGAGGATACTCTAATTCAGCCACTGTTTAGTGGGGTCAGTACAGGGATTAGGGGTTGAAATCCCATTGCCATTGGGACAGAAGTTTAATTAGAGTGGCTACAACAACCCCTTCAACGCTTAATACTTTTTACTCCAGATGGGTTTGGCGGACTGAGTCTGTGGATGTCCTTGATAACTCCCTGACTGTGTATGCCTGAACAGATTTTATTCGAATGGTAGTTTGGGAATTGGTTGTTCTTTGTATGCGTACTTATATTTACATGTGAACAGGAATATTTGTTCTTCATCAGCCTTTGTTCTCCTATTTTTCAAAGGATTATTCATCCCCTCAAAGATTAGAATCAGCTCCATCTGATTTAGGTGACAGTTCTCACCCCATGAGCAGCAAGACATTGAAATGAACTGTTTCTGGAATGAGCCATTGTTGATCCAAGCTGTCCAACAAGTACTTGAATAACAAATATCTCTTACCAAACCAGTGTTGGTTCATGAACAGAGAAAAAGAGTGAAGTTCCCTGGATTGCTTGTTTGCAAAACACAGTTCAGCCATTTCTTTGCCAAAGTAGAGCTGTCAGGAGCTAGCTCCTTAACTGCTATAAACCAACTCAACTCATTGACTTCAGTGCTGAGGTGATAATTTACGTTAATTGATCATCCAGCCTCAAAAGTGCAGCAAGATAGTGTGAAAAAAAAAAACCAACAAACTGTGGGGAATGGTAGTAAAACATTTCAGAATAACCGGAGAAATTTCTGGGATAAATCATAGATATGATATTTCCCTGTACCTCCCCCCCCCCCCCCCCCCATTTGCAGCTAGAAAAACTGCTGTGCTCACTTTGCTAGGTCATCACCATTAACAGAACACTATCTGATCGAATACTTCAGATTTTCCACTGAAGTTATGTTTATGGGCTTAGCAGATCAACTGGCTCAAGTATAAAAATTGTAAGAATTTCAAACGTTAGAAATTGAATCATTTGCTTATTCTTCTCTTCTGTAGTTTGGTAATGAGACATTTGTATAAGGAGACATCATGCCCAAAGTAGGAAACCTGTCAAACAGCAAGCTCTTCAGGCCAAGCAAGCGCTGTGTAGTATTCTGCATCTGTACAGCTGCTGGTACTTTTGAAGTTGTCATGTTTGTCTCTGGATAAATATTGTCGGGAAATTGTGCCTCCTTGAACTCAAAGCAGATTTGAAATGAGCCAAACCCAGGGGGTGGCCATTGTGTATACTGATGGGTGTAGAGTCAGCACTAAGTCAAACAGCTGTGTAAGGAGGATACAGCCATCCAGATCGTAGAACTATAGAATCATTTAGGTAGGAAAAGACCTTTAAAATCATCAAGTCCAACTGTAAATGAAACAAACACGAGGACTAAAGCAGTAAAATGTTATTGCCTTACACTGAAAACAGGTCTGTGTGTGTGTGGAAGTTTGAGGGTCTAAAAAAGGGAATGGGTAACTTGTGGATTCAATTGGGCTGGACAGGAATCTTAATGGAGAAGTTCCCCTCCTGTCAGAATGGCAACAAACATCCTTCAGCACTAAGTTAACTTTCTATTAACATGTTTAAAGCTAATTTGCTATCATTTAGCACATTATATTCATGGCACTTGGAAACAGGAATTCAGTAAGGCACTTAATTAAGGGTTATTAGCATTATTTACTACCGGTGCTGTTGTAGTGTTTTAGAGGCACTTCTCAGGTTGCTTTTTGCTATGGCTTATACAAATATAAGAAGAGGCAGTTCCTCTCCAAAATATTTCCATTTAAGAACACTGCTTAGCATTAATAGAAATACCAGCACCCCTCTCCCAAATGTGAATCAAGATCTCTTTTTTAATGAACAGATAATACCAGCTACTAAGGATATGTGAGTGACTTCACTTTTTGCTCATTTGCCACTCATGTTTCATGGATGAAAAAAATGTTGGTATGAGATTTCTGAATTACTTCTACAGTAAGTAATTCCAGCAGAAATGTTTCCAAAGAACTAATCTGTGAAATCGTGTAAATGCCAGGGCATATATTGCACACTTTACTAGTTAATGGGATGGTGAATCCTGTGACAGTTATCTTGTTCCAAATGTAGGAGGCTTTTCTAACAAACTTTTGTGGAGGATAGGAAAAATCTGGACATTAGCTGTGGAGTTTTAAACGCTCTTAAAACAAGAACAATTGTTAGAAGCTTTTAGAATAGCTTCTCTAGTATCCAGTTAAATTTCAGAGTCCTACAATGTCTGTAATTGGGAATAGCCTGACTCACTCCAACAAAACCATAGCAGCTGAAGATTTGGCCCATAAGATGTATCCAAAATCCTGCAAATTCCTACAAAAAGGAATTCTTTGTCTCCATTAGCAGTTCAACACACACTCACTACAGAGATCTCACTGGAGGTAAAGCATTAAACCCCTTTTAAAAATGGTTTAGTTGGCTAATTAGACAATAAGCATAAACCTGATGCATCCAGCTGTACAAATAAAACGTGACTTTAAAGTTTAATGTCCTGCGTGCACAGAATAGTCATGAACTTGGAGCCAAGATGGGCTGAGAGGAAGGTGGCTGGCTTACAGCTCAGTAGTGGTGTGTCTGAAGGTAGAAACCTTTTGAGAGCTAAAAGTTTATTTTAAGTGTAACTAAAAGGAACTAAGTACCAGTTACCACAAATAGGGTGATCTTTATCTTCCTTGTGTGGAGGGAAAAGAATCTTGAAAGACTTGGGCAGCCGCAGGTTTCACGAAGAGGGTATCTCCCGCACATTGCTGACATGTCTTTCATATTTTGGGTGCTACCTTACCGTTGAAAGAAATTAACAGGTCATTTTAATGGCCTCTTACGCCCTGGGCTCCTGGGTAGGTGTGATCAAGTAGCTAAACACTTACATAACTGACATTTCTCCCCTCCATCCTAATGCATCCATCCTGCAATTGTTTAAGGAAAATTAGTCTCCTCTTGTGCATTTTTCCACTTTGGCTATCTCGAAATGGCACCTGTAAGCACTCACTTTGAGAGATTGCTAATGTGCTAATTACCCAGGACCCAAAAATGCAAGCTGTAAACAAATGAGGACTGTATTTATAATCAATCAATTTTATGACCTTCTGATGGTGATGATATCAGTGGAGTTTACATTGGGAGCCCTTGTACTCCTCCAGGGCAGCTGTGCCCTTCTGTTTTAGTTACGGCTGGAAGAAGATTTTTTGCTAATTTACTTTATAGTAGGCTTTCTTAAGAAAAATATTACCTTCCCTAAACAGCTGAGCCCGTTACAAGTCTCTTTTTAAATAATGAAAACACATGGACTGTCAGTACCTTCAGGATGTATTGTCAGGTGACGAGCTGTTTTCAAAACACCCATGGCAGAAAGTAATGACTTCAGAGCAAAATATTGTTCTCATTGGTATAAGTTGCCGTGAGACAAATCCCACACCCTCTGATGTCAATGGAAAGACTGTTTGACTTAAAAGAGGACTGGATCAGGCCCTGACAGAAATGTTGCCATCATAAAACACCAAAAATGCTTTACGGTTCATACATTTAAAAAATGCTCTGCTCACTGGTGATCTTCTGCGCAGTTTACCTGGCTACATATAGCTTGTAATTTTTGTGTTTGCTTTGCAATGGATTTATGATAGGAGAATGTCCATAAAGTCTGATTTGTGACGTGTTAAAATGATGTCCTGGAAAGCCACACAATGCCAAGGTATACAAGATGCCCTGTAATACCTCAGCTTGAGGAAAGCTATCCAACTTTCCTGATGTTACTAAGTTCTTACAAAGAAAAACAATGTTGTTTAACCATAGCCAGATGTGTTAAAAATAGCTCGATTCTGTGCCCTTGTTTCTTTTATTGGAATTTTTATCTTTTAAATCTAAATTCAGGTTAGATTTTGAGGACAGAACTGTTTCCTAGATTTCCCAAAGCTTTGCTCAGGTGGTTACTGATTTGAGCAGCTTTTAAAATGGGGCAGGATGGAGGCCCTCTGTGTCCATGACTATGAGCCCTCAAGGTGAAAGCCCAGAGATAAGCTTCAAACCAGCAGCAGATGCAAGCTGTTCAGCATAATTCCTTTCTCTCAAAATTGTACCCTGATTTAATCATGGGTTATAGATGATACTTGTTCTTTGGGGTTGTTAAGGATGTGGCTCTTCAGAGAGGATCAGAGCTCCATTTTTCCTGCATCATACCGCCTATGATCAGATGCCTGAGAGGACTATGAGGATGCTGGACTGATCATTCCACTGATGCTGGATGACTGATGAAATTAGTAATCCAAAAAGGTGCTCTGGAGCTCTTTTGAACTTCTGCGAATTAGTTCTTTGCTTATGCTAAGGGGATGAGAGCTGCTCCTGCCTGTGGGCTGGCATTGCCAATTGGAGGGACAGGACTGTGCTGTCCCCTGGGGACTTCTTGCTACCCTGGACTGCAGGGAGGCAGTGGGCGAGCTGGGCAGAGGGCTCAGGGAGCCCCTGGGAGAGTGCTGCCCTCATCTTAGAAAGCTGAGCTTTTGCAGTCCTGTTTGCAGGCAGGCAGCTGGCCAGACAGCTGGATTGCCATGGAAAGACAGTGTCTGGCCTTTTTAAAAGAGAAACTTGCTAGATTTATGTGTGAGAATAGATGTAGTCCTTCTGGAGTTGACGCGGTCTAATGAATGAGATGGGGAGTAAAATACTTTATACTTGCTATCAGGGGTTAACGACTCCTGCCCTCTCCATTTTCCCCTGCTCATGTTTTCCCTTTCTCTCCCTCCTCCAGTCCCAGTCCTCCCCTGCTGTGTGTCTGTATTTTCCGAGCAGTGGCACCACCTGGTTTGTTTTCTGTGTCAGGTATATTACAGACTGTCTGTCAGAGGTTAACTGCCACAGCCAGATCAGCCTTTTCTCTTATTGTACCTGGTCTAAACTCCTTCCCTGCCCGGATGCCTCTTGTTATGTTTGCCAGAATGTAATGGTACCTGGAGAAAGCAGCTCTTTTGGTCATTTTTAGTTTCTCAGTGGTTAGCAGGATGGTGAGGATGGTGTCTCTGCCTGCCCATGGTCTTGGGAACTCACTGAGTGTGCCTCCATCGCTCTGCCTGGGTGCTAGAGCCTGAAAGACCTAAGAGCAGAGAAATGCACTTCAGTTACACGTCAGAAACTATATTTGCCTTTTCTGTTCTCAGAGAAAACACTGATGTGAATTTTCCTCTGTTGATGCCGACTCTGGCTGTGTCCCCAGTCCATATCAAAGGGTCAATAACCCTTCCCAGCTGCCTACATGGAAGAGAAACTTCAGCTTGCGGCTCAGATGGGAGCTCTGGGGTGGTTGTACAGGTGCTTGGCCTTAACCCTGAAAGAAGCAGGGCCTTCTGTTCTGGGCCAAGAGTATATTTGGGCCCTGGAGAACATACAGAAAGTCCTGGCTTATTTCAGGGTTGAGGCCAAGCAAAGAGGATAGTAAGAGGAGATTTAATACAACTGTTTGTTGTAGGCAGCTACAAAGATGATGAGATCAAAACACTTCTTGGCAGTGGCAGGTGATAAAATAAGGGGCAGTGGCCACGGATTGAAGTGTGTGGGAGTGAGGTTCACGCTGGACATTAGGCAAAACTTTTTTCCTGGAAGAGGAATGCAATGTTGGAACAAGCTGCTAGTGGAGGGGGAGAAGAGGGAAGTCTTCATCCCTGGAAGTTTTCAAGACTCAGCTAGAAATACATCATCTCACACATAGCCTTTTCTCAATGGGCACTGGCACAAGCCCAGGTACACAGTTGCTCAACTGTCTCAGGACTGTGTCTCTCTTAACATTCTCATAAACTGCACACAGACTCATCCCCTCAGCAAAAATTGAGCATGTTTTACTGCAAAACTGAAGGGATAAACCAAAACTTTTCTTGGAGCAACTCTCCAGACTATGAAGGATATATCAGCATCAAGCTGCCCGTGATGCTGCTCCCCTCTGCATCTGCAGTGGGATGGAGACTTTTAGTTGTAAATCCATGAGCTATTTGCCCTTGGACCGCTGCCTTGTTTTGTAGATGGGAGAAATGTCTGTATGAACAATTACTGTTTTCCTAGTAATATGGTTATTGTCTGCGAGATTCCTTTCTCTGCTGGTGCAGCAACTGGGAATAGTGTGATGAATGACGAACTGGATGGTCCCAAAATTAAGGCATTGTAATACTGCCTGGGAAAATGGGGCTTCCGTGTTCCTAGGTGGGGCAGTCCCTTTATGGAACATTTCCTGGGGGTCACTGTTTGTAAGCTGCTCACCTTCTGTTTTCCTGACTTATGATCCTACAAATTTGATATGCAAAAGAGCAAAGGACCACCAGCAGCCACTTTATGCAACAAGAGCAGTATGCTGAGTGTATAAAGTAGTATATAATGTTAAATACTGTGAATAATCATGTCCAAGGCATATCAAATTGGGATCTGAAAATTAATGGGCACTTTTGACCTTCTTTCTGTGCCTCAGCTCCTTGCCTATAAAATGGGAAGTGCACTACTTGCCCATTATGCAGGGTGAGCAGCAGTTGATTAATATTGGGCAAGCACTCATATATTACATTTAAATGCTCTTTTGAAAAACCGAGAGAGAAATTATTAATCCTGCCTTTGGAGCAGGGCTTGGGTTGCATAAGAAGGCACAGAGACATAGTGCATAGTGAAGAGGGGCAAAATATTGAACAGCCGCTCATTCATTTGGTATTATTCACTGTGTGTGAATAAGATACATAAACGTGGTCTGAAATGATGCTGTAATTAAAGACCCCATTGCGAGACATAAGCACAAGAGAGCTGTAGTGAGGTATCTGCTTAACTGGCAGTGCTCGATTTTGAAGCCTAAATGCATATATTTTAAAATGTCATTTTAAATATGGTTCCTCAGGACAGAAAGCTTATGTTTAAACAAAGATCTTTAATTTGATTAGCCAGGAATTGCATCCGTTTTTGCTTTTCAGTCTTTTAAATTAATTAATTATTAGAAGGCAGTGCCCAGAAATTAAATACTTACCAGTACAGGTACTAATGTGATTTCAGAGAAAGAATCAAATTGTACGAGTTCTGGAAAGAGCCTTCTATTTAAATAGCTTCAGACACTGAATCAGAAACAGTAACTACATCGGGTGACTCAAAGTACACAGCAAATACAAGTATCTCAACAGATACAGGGATCAGATAAAATCAATAATTCAGGTGTGTTTATGCAATACTGGAAAATTCCAGTGAACAGCAAATCTCTGTGTAAGGTACTGAGATTAAGGTTATATTTTTTTCCAAGTGATTCAAGATGAATAGAGGGTCCTGAATACAATGGATTAATCGTTAAATACTGGAGTTAAGTTTTCTCACTGGGGCAGTAGGCAAAAGGATGGAGGTTTGTGATGCAGAACAACACAGATGAACTATGAATCAGAACCAGCTTGCAGCTCTAAAGTATCAGCAGGACTGCAGTTGGTAATAATAAACAATACTGTTGGTGACAGGCATTTTACAAAGATTAGGGTTGATCTTCATCACCAGAAATATTTTTCCTCAGCCCTGCATTTGCTGCATTTTTTCCAAGTATTTTGTGTTGCCTGTTAGCCTGTGGAACACTAGAGCATCTCTAGCATCACTGGGTGTCTCTTTGCCAAGTTCCAGGAATAGAAGAACAGCTATCAAGAAAGGTCATTTTTCTGGTATTCCGACTTGCACAGTGAAATGCAAGGCATTTGAAAAATAATTCTGGGAACTTGGCTGGTGCTCCTTGGGATTACCCATCCATTACCCATTTCCTCTTTTCACAGACCAAATGGCAGAACTCAAATGGGAAGGTTTCATGAGAAGAACAAGTTCCCCCACTAGTGTTATACCTCTTCGTCATGGAAGAGTAACATGGTGCATGATACCAGATTATCTTCTGCCATCTTCCTCCCAGGCATATGGCTAACAGATACTAACTTATGCACACATGAAGAGGAGAGTGTCTTCCATCTTGTGGTACTGTAGTGCCATCAGCCCCCTCAGACCAAAGGAAGATACTGCTTAGCAAGGCGCATTGGAACTCCTGAGCTGCTGCTGCCTCAGTTGTGCTGGGATGCTAAAAGACATAATGTGAGACTATCTTTCAGGTCTAATTGCTACCTAAAGAACCAGGAGTGCAGTTTTGTAAAAAATAACATGAAGGTGACCTATAAACTGAATTAGTAAAATTAACCAGTCAAATTCCTTATGATCAGACTTCAGTGTCTCTGTGTCACCATCAGGTTTGGTTACTCCAGGCACTCAGAATCAGGGTCCTGAATTTTTCTCCCTTACTGCTATTTCTCTGCTATGTTTAACCATCTTCCCATTAGGATTAAACTGATATTAATTTTTCTTGGGAGCTAATTTTTTTTACCCATGCAAACAATTACTAGTTATTCTTAGAGCTAGTGTAATCTCTTGCATACAGCTGCCTTTGATTACCATGTTTCTGAGGCCCCCCTATTATTTTGCCTCCTAAGTGAAGCCTTATATGATATTATAGTCACAGCAGAGCAGAAATTTTGCAAGTCTGAAAGAACAGAGTGGAAACAGTTGTCAGAAGCTGGAAGCTTCGGTCCTGTTGCATGGTCACTGCCTGCTGGTCCCTAATGCATGCAGAGCAGAAGCTGGAGTTCGGTGACAGAAAAGTGTGAGGGACTTTCTGCTGATGAATCTGGAGTCCTGGTGGCCACCAGTATTACTCCTGAGTGTAAAACACTCAGCTTTTCTTTTTTTCTGCATATACTAGATGGTTGCATAGGGTTGTGGGTCTAACACATCAAGTCAAGTGTCTGTGGAGGGGCAGAGCTCACTGGGATGGGTTTGATGCCTGTAAGATTGGGGCATTATTTTGGAGCAAGCATTTGGGCTTTCTCCTGAACAGGTGTGGAGGAGCCTTGCTTACTTGCAAGGTTGCCATGAGACTCACTGACTTGGTATGCTTAATCTTCAAGCGAAGAAAGAGAAATAAGTAGGAAAATGGGCCTGCATTTCTTGGGCTGAGTGATGGAACAGCTAATACTGCCTGGAGTGATGTCCGCCTTGGGTCAAGTGGTGCACAGCTACAAATCATGGGTAGCATCTACTAGTAATCCCACAGCTGCATCCTCTCTAGAGAAAGAAACTTACTGAGAAGTTAAAATATGTGCATTTCATTCCTAAAGCAAGGTTTTTAAGTTTGCTTCAGATATGTTATATAGAGATTATTTAAGTACAGCGTTTCAGACCTAATTCTGCAAAAAGGCTTACCTTTATGGGTTGCATTGAAATAAGCAAGTATTCCAATCTTCGCAGAATTGATGCTCTCAGTAGGGATGGATGGATAATTTTCTGATGCAACAGTTTTCAAATGGTTCAATGGCTGCCAAAACCTAACAAAAACAGTTTAAGGAAATACACTTTTTCATTCTGAAACAAAAAATAGGAAAATGTTGAGGAAAAGGATTTTTTTTTCCCCGTTTTCCTATGGAATTTTCATAAGAAAACAAATAATTTCCTGAGTAGTTCCAGCTTTAAATAGTTTCTTTAACTGTCTTGGTTTATTGACATGAGAGTACAGCAAGCTAAGGTGTTTGGTTTCTTTTTTTTTTTCTTCAAAGGAGCACATGTTCATAGAGATTAACTATGAATAAAGGTACAGATAGAGATACTCTGATACATGCACAGATTTGGCAGATGCAACTTTAGCCACTAAAGAGCTAAAACCTACAAAGCAGTTTTGTCAACTATAGAAAGCTAAATATATATTTCAAAAAAAATCAGATATTTTAAGTGTATATAAGCTGGCACACAGCTGTTAATTTTGACTTCAAGAGTGTAGCCTAGCTTTTAAAATGGTCATCTTTGATTCTCCAGCCTGTCAGCAGCTGCAGATACGAGTAGCTTTGTATATACAGTTTCTTTGGTAATATCTACTCAGCGCTGAAGCACAACCTTTGGTTTTGCTTTGTCCCCTGCCTGCTTTCCACCCACATGGCTGCACACACAGGGCACATCATGGAGGCAGCGGAAGGGCCACCTGCGGTGTGTCCCTCTTGGATGGGCTTTCTGGAAATACTTGTGTGTTTTGAGTCACCCTGCTGTGGGATTTGAATCTTTTTACTCTACCTATACTGTTTTTTATGTGTTTCAGAACAGGGGCAATTTCTTTCTCTGCAGCAGACTCAGCATCACAGATTTTACCAGGGGCCTCTAGGTGCTACCAAACTGCAGATATTAAGAACAGCTTGTAGGCCTGGGCACCAAAGTTTCTTACAACACTTATTTATTACCAGTCTCATATAACTCATTCATGGTAAACAATGCAGGTTTTATTATGTGTAAGTAATAGGAGACCTTTGCTTTTTCCACTAACAAACATGCCATGGGTAATTATTCCTGTATTAAAACGACATGTGGACATATTTGCGACATGCAACAGTTCCATTTCTTTGAAGAGAAGTATTATTCTAAACAAGGTTAGCCACCATTTATTTTGAGGGGCTCTTGCATTTCTGTGTTCGAAGCGCTTTGCGGCTTTCCTTGTCTATTTGATAATCATTAACATGTTCCGTTGTTAACCTTCAAGCAGCTTTGCTTGAAACTTTATATGCAACTTTTTAAACATTTGTCTTGCATTGCAGACTGTGGTTTGCTGGGGCTGTTTTTATGATCACTGGTGGTAAAATCAGGAAGATGAAAAATGGGTGTGTATTGAAGAGCAGCATATCCAGCGTTCTAAGTCTTAAATTAGAGTGATGAGCATAAACATTGCAAACAGAGCTTTTTCAACTCAAGTGCAATTATATTTGAAATTACCTACAATTACCAGTAACCATCTCAAAGCTAGAAATTAACTTTGTAGGCTCTCCTCCAGATGGATCAGCTGTTAAACGTGCTGTCTCGTGCAGCTGAATGGAGCGTAGGAAAAAGGGTGAGGAGGCATCTGAATGGCAACTATGCTGTCTTCTAGCTGAGGCAGAGCGTGTGCTGCTTGTCATGAATGCATGCATTTTCACTTTGAAATAAACCCATGCCACTCTTTGAGGCATAGTTTGGGAAACTGTGGCTTTACTCACCTCATTGGGCTCTGACCCTGGAAGCCAGTGCAGAAAGTGAAAATTTTTGCTGTGAAAACTGGCAGAAGGACTTGTCTGCTTTACTCTGTAAGGCTGCATGGGGAGTGTGGGGAAGAGTCAGGCCCTGGCTGCTCCCCTGGCCCTACTCACCACCAATCCTGCTGTTACAAGACAGAAGCAAAGCTGCTGTGTGGCACCTAGGTTGCTGGGGAGACAACCCTATCTTTCCAAATGGGAACCCCATCCATCCCTTCATACCCCTGTATTGCTGTGCAATTTGCAGAATCCAACATCCAGAGGTGAATTAATGTGAACGGCTGGCTACCAGAGAAGTGAACACACTGCACCAGCTCTCATGGTAGTGCATGGGTCTAGCTGAGTGACCTCCCTTTCTAATGTGGAGATGGCAGGCTGTCCATGTCTACTTCCCTTGGGTCAAGTCATGAGCTAAAGGGTTACATTTATGGCAGATCCACTTAACTGCCTGACCAGCTAGAAAGTAGTATTTTCTAATTCCTGCTCTGCTTGATGATTTCCTGCTGTTATTTCTTTAACTGATCTTCATAATTCATTTAGCTAACTCTATACCAATTTCTTCCATAACCACTGTGGCCAAAGAAATTCAAGACTCTTCTCCCTCTTCTTCCACAATCAGTCAGTGCACAAGGATGTTGCCATGGCTCCATGGTTGCAGTGGACTTCACTGATTTTCAGCTGGTGGAGCTGAGGGAGGTATTTTGCCCAAAGCATCTCAGAAATGCTTGTGATTTCAGTTTCCAACATGGCTTTGAGCTAGGGAACGAGAACGTGCCAGGAGTGTCAGTGACAGCTTTAGAAATGGATTGTTTGCATAAACTTGAAAACAGTACAAGCATAAATGTATTTCCTTTGTTTAACTTTTCACTCTTGTTTACTCGTCTCTGCTTCTAAAAGGCTTTGCAAGTAAACTCTGCAAATCATTAAGTTTCACAGGCATTAATGAGGGCTGGGAGTTCTGGGATCACTCC